AAAATAGAGCGAAATGAGGCATGGCTAAAATGCATGATCTGTTTGTTTTAAAAAAAAAAAAACTTTGCAGACATGTTTTATATATGGTCCTACAATATATTATTAAAATATAGCATGATAGGTCCACTTTAAGTTAAGGGTAATTTATTTATTCAACACTTTATGAAACACAGAGGTAATTCAAAGGGCTTTAGATGGTAAAAGGTAAGAAATATAAGTAAAAACAAGTACAGATACATTTAAAACCTAATTAATAAAATAAACTATAAACTATTTTAATTAAATGTTTTTAAAAGAGAACAGTGTTAAGCTTGGTTTAAACATTACAGCATTATATTTGCAGGTGGAGCTGATTCCAGCGGTGGGCAGGATAATGGCTGAAAGCTGATTAGTTGAATTGCAGCTAAACACTTATTCTGAGAAACCAGCTTTCTGCTGATTGTGTGTTTAACTGGCTGTTTGTACATCATCCAGGTGAACTGTTGTACAGTCTAGTTCTCATTGCATGTTCCTCAAACTTTTTTCAATAACAAACACTGTTTAAAAAACAAATTGTAGAAAAAAAGCCTCTCTAAAGAGACAAAAAAGAGCACATAGTGCATCTGATTGTGTGATCAACACATTTTTTCTCTTCTTCTCGCCTACAAAGCCCTTAATAGGCAGGCGCCATCTTACCTTAAAGAACTCATTATACCCTACTGTCCTACTAGGGCATTGCATTCCAAGAATGCACGGTTATTGGTTGTTCCTAGAGTCTCTAAAAGTACAATGGGAGCCAGAGCCTTTTCTTATCAAGTTCCACATTTGTGGAATCAGCTTCCAGTTTGTGTTCTGGCGGCAGACACCCTATCCGTTTTTAAGAGTGCGCTTAAGACCTTCCTTTTTGATAAAGCTTATAGTTAGGGCTGATTAGATTCAGCCCCTAGTTTTGCTGATATAGGCTTAGTTTGTCGGGGGACATCTTACTTCTTCCTTCTCTCTGTCTATACCTGTGTACTCTCATGTTCCGATTAACCCAGCTTCCCCAAATTTCTTTCTTTTTGGTGTCTTTATACGCTGGGATCCGGAGTCATGGATGATCCTGCGGTCCAGTGTCCTGCATCGCGAGCCCTGGATCTTGAGTCGTGGCTGTGGTCCTGGATCATAGGTCCTGGATGGATATCCTCGTGGATTCATCTTCCTATTATACACACATGCATTTCCAAACATTTGGACTACCTATGTTGCAAATGTATTATCTTTTCAATTTACACACGGCATCTATTGCACGTCTGTCCGTCCTGGGAGAGGGATCCCTCCTCTGTTGCTCTCCCTGAGGTTTCTCCCATTTTTCTCTTTAAACTGTGGGTTTTTTCCGGAAGTTTTTCCTTGTACGATGTGAGGGTCTAAGGACAGAGGGTGTCGTATTGTCATACTGATATTTTGTACAAACTGTAAAGTCCACTGAGACAAATTTAACATTTGTGATATTGGGCTATATAAATAAACATTGATTGATTGATTGATTGAACACATCTATGTATCTGAAAAACATAAAAATGCTACCTTTTCATTTATTCCGTTTCAGAATACATAATAGAACATTGTGCAGGAATATAAAATGATGATGCATAGTGTGTCTATGATCAATTTCCTATATATATGAGACAATTATGTTTTTGTATTTTGTGTAGGATTGGCTACTGAAGTAAACAGAGTCTGCAGAAATGCTGATGATGTGTCACTGCCAATACAAGCGCTGCAACATTTGTTTGACTTCACCGTCTGTGTATCTGTGTGTGTCAGAGGGGATAGCATCTTCTGCCTGTCCTTTTGGTTGCTTCAGGGTGCAGACACAGTTAGACATGTTTGCCTGAAGTAATTTTATTCCTTCACTAAAGGTTAGACAAACAAAACTGAACATTCTTATTCATGAATTTTGATAATGAGCTGTGTGTTTTCATTTGTCTAACTGGGATAAGGCCTGACATTTCTTTCTCATTTTTTAGTAATGTACTACTCCTTAACCCCAGCTCTTTGACAATTTACGAGTCAGGCGCTGTTTTTGACTTGCAAAAAGTGTTATGCCGGCAAATGAGAGAAGACTAAATGCCTGTGCTGGTGTAAAAAGTCCTGGTGTTGAGTAAACTGCTAACCTTTGATAACGATTTGTGACAGATTAACCACTCGTGATTCTTTCCCCAGGTTTAGAGATTCACTTAAAGTTGAATGGAATGTATTGATGGTGCTAATTCTATTTATGTTATGGGTTTATGTCTGAGTGACTTTTTTTTAGGACAAAGCGATAACTAGGTTACCCATGTACGAAGAACCAAAATGAAGAATAAGAGATTCTCGGAGACTTCGACCTCCAGACAGGGAAGATAGACGAACTAACATCTCTGTTAACCGCCTTTGCTTTCTCACTGTCTCCATCCCCACCGACTCATAAAGCTGGCAATGTCCTTGATCTCATATTCTCAAGGAACTGCGCTACTTCTAACCTCTCTGTAAACCCGCTCTACACATCCGATCACTTCTTCATTTCATTCTCTCTACCCCTTTCCAAACATAACAAACTAATCTCTTCTCATCCTGCACTTGTCCGCCGTAACCTTCGTTCCCTCTCCCCCTCTACCTTTGCCTCATCGGTGCTCTCAGCCCTCCTTTCCTCTGACTCGTTCCAACTCCTGCCTCCAAACTCTGCTGCAGAAACTCTCCTCTCTACTCTCTCATCCGCTCTGGACTCTCTGTCCTCTCACATCTCGGCAGGCTCGTCAGTCCCCTCCTGCTCCCTGGCTAAATGATGCACTGCGTGCTAATAGAACCGTCCTTAGGGCAGCAGAGCGGAAACTGTGGAAATCCAAACACCGTGACGACCTCCTAACCTATCAGGCTCTCCTCTCCTCTTTCTCTGCTTCGATCTCTCAGGCAAAAAGCACTTTCTTTCAAGATAAGATCCAATCTTCCTATTCCAATTCTAAAAAACTATTTTCCATCTTCTCCACCCTCTTGGACCCTCCAAAAGCCCCTCCCCCCTCCTCACTTCTGTCAAGCGACTTTGTTACCCACTTTGAAAAAAAGGTTGATGATATTCGCTCTTCTTTTTCTGACTCACCTCTACTCACCGCTGGGTCACCAGACCCTCCTTCCACCAACACACTAACCTCCTTTTCCCCTCTCTCTCCAAGTGAGGTTCTTACCCTCATTACCTCTGCCCGCCCTACCACCTGTCCTCTGGACCCTATCCCTTCAAACCTCCTTCAGACTATCGCTCCTGATATCCTACCGTTTCTCACCCATTTCATCAACACTTATCTAACTTCTGGTCACTTTCCAAACAGTCTCAAGGAGGCAAGAGTAAACCCTCTCCTGAAGAAACCCACTCTCAACCCGTCTGATGTTATAAACTACAGGCCTGTCTCTCTCCTCCCGTTCCTGTCTAAATCACTTGAACGCGCTGTCTTTAAACAACTCTCCTGTTATCTCAATCAGAATAACCTTCTGGATCCGCACCAGTCTGGTTTCAAGGCAGGTCACTCCACAGAAACTGCTCTCATTGCTGTCACTGAGGAACTGCACACTGCCAAAACTGCATCCCTCTCCTCTGTCATCATCCTGTTGGACCTGTCTGCTGCATTCGACACGGTGAATCATCAGATCCTCCTTCGCACTCTCCAAAAACTTGGAGTTTCAGGCTCTGCACTTTCCCTCCTCACCTCATACCTGAAAGACCGTACCTACAGGGTGACTTGGAGAGGGTCTGAGTCCGACCCTTGTCAATTAACTACAGGGGTCCCTCAGGGCTCTGTTCTTGGTCCCCTCCTCTTCTCCCTGTACACAAACTCGCTCGGATCAGTCATTAGCCCGCATGGTTTTTCATACCACTGCTACGCTGACGACACCCAATTAATTCTGTCCTTTCCCCGCTCAGAGACCCAGGTCGTCGCACGCATCTCTGCTTGTCTAGCTGACATCTCTCAGTGGATGTCTGCTCATCACCTCAAGCTCAACCTTGACAAGACTGAACTGCTCTTCCTTCCGGGAAAAGATTGTCCCACTCTTGACCTAACAATCAACATCGGCACCTCAGTTGTTTCCCCGATTCAGACTGCAAGGAATCTGGGTGTGACCCTAGATAACAACCTGTCCTTCACTGCAAACATCGCTGCTACAACCCGTTGCTGCAGATACACGCTTTACAACATCAGGAAGATACGTCCCCAGCTGACACAGAAAGCGACGCAGGTTCTGGTCCAGGCTCTCGTCATCTCACGCCTAGACTACTGCAACTCCCTCCTGGCTGGTCTACCTGCATGTGCCATCCGACCTCTGCAGCTCATCCAGAATGCAGCGGCTCGTCTGGTCTTCAACCTTCCTAAATTTTCCCACACCACTCCGCTCCCTTCACTGGCTTCCGGTAACTGCTAGAATCCACTTCAAGACACTGGTACTTGCTTACCATGCTGCGAATGGATCTGGCCCTTCGTACATCCAGGACATGGTTAAACCGTACACCCCAGCGCGTGCACTACGCTCTGCATCAGCCAAACGACTCGCTGCACCCTCGCTGCGAGGGGGACCCAAGTTCCTATCGGCGAAAACACGTGGGTTTGCTGTCCTGGCTCCAGGATGGTGGAATGAGCTCCCCATTGACATCAGGACGGCAGATAGCTTGCACATCTTCCGGCGCAAACTGAAAACTCATCTCTTTCGACTACACTTCGAGCGATAGAACTATTAACAAAGCACTTATATACTAATAAAGGACTGGCTTATCTAAAGCCAGTTGAGTAGCACTTGAAATGTTTGGCTCTATGAAACCGGATGTACTTATATGATTCTGTTTTCTTCAAGGTTGTGTCTTCCTGGTCGAATGTACTTATTGTAAGTCGCTTTGGATAAAAGCGTCAGCTAAATGTAATGTAATGTAAAAGAACCAAATGTCAAGAACACCAAGACAGTCTTCAGTCATATATTTCCTAAAGGGAACACTCATAGGAAAAAATAAGTTTACAAAGTAGGTTCAAATGTTCTTTTACTTTACTAAGGCTAAAGCAAGCATGCACACAGTAATACAAGAAGGGATGCATATCAATCAAGTAATAATTAAATAATAGTTCATTTAAAATTGAAACCCTACACCAATTATACTAATTATGTTTCATTACTGAAAGAAATGTCACTAAATTGCTCAAATGCAACAATAGCCCAGTTAAAAACATTTTAACATCAATGAAAGGATATAAATGTGTAGGAATAAAGCCGACTAACAGCATAATTCGATTGATGTGTAAAATACAATAGTTATTTGTTAATTCTCAGTAGTTTACTGCTATCTTTTTTTATTTGTCTGGATGTTTTATCTTCTTCTTTGCCCCAGTTGATGGTTAATCCAGGTTGTAGGGCAGAGTGAAGCTCTCACTCTGCATCTCTTTGCGAATAGCTGAAGTGAATCTGGCCAGATGCTCTGAGCTGAAATGGTTTTTCCAGTCTCCCGGAACACCTAACACACACACACACACACACACACACACACACACACACACACACACACACACACACACACACACACACACACACACACACACACACACACACACACACACACAGAGAGAGATAGTCAGACATGACTGAAAATTAAACCAGGTTGACACTTCACACAGTTCAATGCAAACTGAAAACAAATAGAGGTTATGATGATGGGCACACGCCGCCTCACCTTTCCTGAGGAACAGAGATTTCTCGAGGTTCATGTACTCCTTGGGGACCAAGCTGAAGTTGGACATGCGGTTTGTCTTCATCGTCTTGAAGGTGCAATGTTGTGCTATCTTCTGAATAGTGCCTTCACTCAGGTTACGGCCAAGGAAATCTGACATCTGCCTGAGAGCTGCTGGGAGGTCCTAAACACGGGGAACATGGACATGTGTTTTCATGTGTGTGGAGCAACGGGAGCTGTTATACTGCACATTCTCTAATGAAGAACTTTTCTACATGATTTTTGCTCAGACTCCATCTAAGTTTTCTTTACACAGGAGACAGGTAGTCAGTTGCTAGCCACAATTGTAATACATTAACATATACATGTCAATACATGTGAATGATTGACAACTGAGGGGCAGCAAACATTATTGAAGTTAGCAACTAATGTACTGTATGTTTAGTTAACATACAGTGTCGACCATGGCATGAACAAATACCAAAGTTTAATCAGTATAGCTTGGCAGCTGTACGTGCTTTTTGATAGGAAGCACCCTCCCATGGTGAAACCCTGCATTTCAATGAATGGATTCATGGAATCTAGACACAACCGTTCATTCAATTCAATTTAAGTCATTTAATCATCCAATATAAACTTGGCGGCAAACCCCCGGAAGTTAGGATTTAGGAGGCATTCAGCTGGGAGGGCCCCATCTATATTTGTATCATGTTTAATAACTACTTAATTACATTACATTACATGTCACTTGTTAGTTGGGTTTGAACCTATGACCCCCTGGTCCGAACACCTACGCACAACACACTGCCTTAACTTAACCGACAGGCACAAATTGAAACACAATATAAGGGAAGGGAATTAATAAAGCAAATAATACATGGAAAATCACGGTAACTGGTTAAAAATACATAAGATAAAGGTTAAATGGAAGTATAAAAATGGTGTTTCATGGGGACGAAATGAGCAAATGCGTACATGGAAGGTATTCTGATCTAGTGAAAAAATCTGAACTATTTCAAATAATACCAATTTATCGGGCCCTGCATAGAGAAAGGATAGCCAATTTCTAACCGCAATCACGATCACAATCGCCATCTCACTTCCTCTGGTATTGGATTGTATTTATTTGTTTGCATGTGTTTGTAAAAGATTGTTAAATGAAAGGAAGGAGTGGAGGGGTTTTGTTTGAGCCGTCAAAGTGCCTTGCGGCTTGTTTTAGACTGCCTTCAGCTGCAATAGTGAGTAAGATCACTGCCTTTGGTGAATAAGCTGTCTCCACATGTTTATGTTTTACCTGACACATTTCTTCATATGTGATGAACAGTATCCTGTCTCCCAGCTCGGCACTTCTCCAGCTTTTCACATGGTCGGTCCATTTTCCAAACATCACTGCAGACAACATGGAAAATAGATCTCAGCATAAATACAAAGGTGACTTTTACTTCCTTTCAAAATGTGTTCACATTATAATTCTGAAGCTCTCTTTATTGGGGATGAAACCACTCACCATTGCCATCAAGGAATTTTTTGATGAATTCATCAAAGGTCCCTGGATCATCAAGGAATTCGGCCATCTGATGGAAGTAGAATGAAGACACTAGGATGTCCTTAGGGTTCCGCATGACATAGATCACCTATAGCAGAGACATGAGAGACTAATTCAATAACACACTAGATACAATGTGTGTTAGATATTAATTATTGAAGGACAGCATGTTAAAAAAGCATTTTAATAACAGACAAATACGTGGAAGCTTTCACAGAAACACCACAATATGGAGCTCAATTCATAGATGTTTCCAAAATTAAAAATAAAATGCCTCCACCCTTTTACCTTTGCTTTGGAGGCGTGGAAGGATGGGGGCATGAGTCGGAAAGGGAAATGTGTGACCATTGCCCGTGGAGCAGTCAACGTATCCGCAATCACTGCTAATCTTTTCTCCTCCAGCCAGGGGACCCTATCCCAGTTAGGGATGGTTTGGATTGGGGTCAGATCGCCTCCATTCAGCAGCAGTGGGAGGATTTCCTGCATCCAGATTGTACCTGCAGAAAATAAAAAATAGTAGAACAGTAGATAAAATGGCTGCTGCAACTATAGTATCTATCTAATGCACAAATAAAGAAGCTGACAAGATTTCACTGGGGTTTGAGGAGCAACTATTCGCTATGATTTCAATGTTTACCTATCTACGATTCTTTCAACTGTCTGTATTGACCATTCTGTCAATTATATTGACAACTTTAACTTGTTCTGGGACCGCAGACATCTTTTTAAGGCAAATGGAGTTTGTCTGAACAAGTCAGGAGTGAAATTGTTTATCTCTAACGTATTCAACTGCTTACGTCATCAATCTGTTCCCTCTGCCAAGGACAAGCAACAAGAGGAATCAAAACAAGAGAAAGACACAACACATCGCTCAGAAAACCTTGAAAATCTATCACTGCACCCGCCTGAGGAATGTCTTGATTATGGGAGACAAATGGAGGAGTCTCCACCGCCCTTCACCCCCCCTATCACCTCTGAGGATACTCTTTCTTCACCCCACAGCTCTCTCTACTCTCCGTTCACCCTTTCACCCTCGCCCACCCTCCTGGAGATCGCTGAACACACAAAGGAGATACAGAGGGTTGGCACCGATTCCTTCCTGGAGTTCAAAGACCAAACTAAGGCGATACGCAGGGTTGGCAGTATGTCCTTTACCCCCGCTCCTCAACGACGCCCACCAAAATCACCGCAGAGACGCGCACCATCTCCCCCGTCTTCATCACCGTGCCTACGTCAAGCACCTCCCCCCCTGGCAGCATGTCCTTTATCCCCACACCATCTCCCCCGTCTTCATCACCGTGCCTACGTCAACCACCTCCCCCCCTGGCAGCATGTCCTTTACCCCCGCACCATCTCCCCCGTCTCCATCACCATGCCTACGTCAACCACCTCCCCTCCCTTCAAGAAAGCATCTGCAGTCTCCAAAGCCTGATAAGGATGTGTGTGTACAAAACGCAACAAACTCTTACTGATATGTGCTGGGTCCAGGCTCAAGGGCGTATGGCACTCTCAACTCTTTCCAGGACATGCCGGGGCCCTGCCTGCCAGTAGCTTTGCCGATATCTGTGTTGATAGGTAATACTGTAGATTAAGAGCGGTGAATCAGCTTAGAAACAGGAAGTGCTCAAACGTTTGTGTGAGTTTATCAAATTTAGCAGTGATTCCATGTCAGCCACAGCTTGTCACAAAAAATCTTACTGATAGTGTATCTAACAAACTTAAACTAGCTTTATTAAATGTCAGGTCTCTGGCAGGAAAAACATTTTTAATCAATGATTTTATCACTGAGCACAATCTTGATTTTATGTTTTTAACGGAAACTTGGATTGAACAAAATAACAGTGCAGCTGTTCTTATTGAATCAACCCCTCCCAACTTTAGTTTTATGAGTCAGGAAAGAATGCATAAGAGAGGAGGTGGAGTTGCTATTTTGTACAATGATTCCCTTCAATGCAGGAAGACATCTTATGGGAACTTTGCTTCTTTTGAATATGTGGCCCTTCAGCTGAAATGCTCCTCTCGAGCTCTGTTCCTAAATATCTATAGACCACCCAAATACTGTGCAAGCTTTTTTGATGACTTTAGTGAACTGCTGTCTATAATGTGTATTGACTTTGACCGTCTAGTCATTGTTGGTGATTTTAACATCCATGTTGACAACCCCCAGGACAGAGGGGCAAAATAACTGTTTTGTGTTCTTGATAGCTATGGACTGACTCAGCATGTGACGGAGCCCACGCACAATAAGGGGCACACTCTGGACTTAATTATCTCAAAGGGTCTGAATATCTCTAAGGTTGTGGTGACTGATGTTGCACTCTCTGATCATTCCTGTGTTTTCTTTGAGTGTTCTATTTCTGTTCACAATTTTTTTCAAAAAGAGGTAACCACAAAGCGATATTTAACTGAAAATACTAGGGAAATGTTTACTCAGAATTTTTCTTCCACACTTGCCCCTGCTAACATCTCAGTAAATGAGCTAGTAGATCATTTTAATTCAAAAATTTAAAATGTTATAGATGCCATTGCTCCAACTGGTAAAGGAAGTGACTGGGAAGAAAATATCTCCATGGAGAAAGGCCATGACCGTGAGAGCAGAAAAAAGAGAGTGTCGAAAAGCTGAACGTAGGTGGCGAAAAACAAATCTCCAGGTTCACTTTGAAATCTATAAAGAGAGACTTGGCCTTTATAATTTGGAATTGAAAAACGCACGACAGTCTTTCTTCTCTGACATCATTACCAAAAACAATGCACGTGCCTTGTTTGCTACCGTCGACAGACTAACTAACCCCCCAGTGTCAGTAGCCTCTGAATTTCTATCCACCAGGGCATGCAATGATTTTGCCTCCTTCTTCACTGACAAAATTCAGAAAATCAGACAAGCAGTCAGTGCCTCTGCATCAGGAACAGCAAATGTGTTGTCTCTGTGTCCACTTAAAATCAATTCAAACACCATGACACAATTCCATCAGATTAATGATAAAAACCTAGAGGACATTATTCAACTTCTGAAATCCTCCTCCTGCTGCCTTGATATTAGTCCAACAGGATTTTTCAAAGATGTTTTTTGTTGCATGGCCTCAGATCTACTTCATATAGTAAACAAATCTCTTCACTCAGGTATTTTTCCACAGGCCCTGAAAACTGCAGTCATTAAACCGCTCTTAAAAAAGAATAATCTAGATGCTTCAGTAATGAACAATTACAGGCCCATATCAAACCTGCCATTTCTAAGTAAAATCATTGAAAAAGTTGTTTTTCAACAGTTGAGTAATTTCTTGCATTTAAATAGTTGTTTCGATGTGTTCCAGTCAGGCTTTCGTCCAAACCACAGCACTGCTCTTGTAAAGGTCTTCAATGACATTCACTTAAACACAGACAGTGGCAGAACTTCAGTGTTAGTATTATTAGATCTCAGTGCTGCGTTTGACACCGTTGACCACAACATATTAGTCGACCGACTAGAAAACTGGGTGGGACTTTCGGAAACAGTTCTAAATTGGTTTGAATCCTACTTAAAGGACAAACAACTTTGTTTCTATGGGTAAATACACATCTGAGTTAGGGCTGAACGATATACCGTGTCATGGCGATAACCGCGGTATGCGCATGCGCGGTATTCACACCGCAGGGACGTGCGGTTTTATTCTTTTTTTTTAAATGCTAACGCACTTTAGCACAGAATTCAAAATAAAGATACCCTTATTACTTATCGAAACTACACATACAATATATCCGATTAAAGCTGAGACTCCACAGATTATTTAAGTATAGTATCTAAGCGATCCGATCTCGCAACAGGGGAAGCAAACACAGACATCACAACACGTACCTTTTACGGGAGATCGTCACACCGTAGCTGTCAATCTGATCAAAAGACGTGTTCAATGGCATTAAAATGAGAAAGAAAAAACGTGGCTGAATCGGTTGATCCATAGGTTGATAATGTATCTGTGGCTTTGAAGCAATTGTTTATAATCCATAATTCCATTTTTATTTTTAAAATCGGATCACAAAAGTTAGCTGCTAATGGTAGCCACCTTGGTGGTATGCAGCTTCCGGTTTTGGCTACGCGTCGTCACTCTCACTCCTTATTTGTTCATGTGTTGGTGTGTGTAGAACTTCCCCTGATATTTGACCTTTTTAGACAGATTTAGCACCAAAAAAACCCTCTTTTGGGGCCATTTGGGTGGATTTTCCATATCTCTGGCCCACCTTGCTGGATTTTGACATGTGACATCTCTTTCTGACCGTCAGAGCCAATGGAATCGAGGGGAAATCACACAGTCCTTATTTGGTAATGTGTGTGTGAGAGACTTCCGAATTGCCAAGACCGGAAGCAGCAGCCACTCTGGTGGCTACCATTAGCAGCTAACTTTTGCTCTGCGATATTTACATAAAAATGGAATTATGGATTATAAATTAAATCATTTTTTTATACAGAGACGTTAAAAACCTATGGATTAACCGATTCAGCCGCGTTTTTTCTTTCTCGTTTTAATGCCATTGAACACGTCTTTTGATCAGATTGACAGCTACGGTGAGACATCTCCCCTCGAAGCTACGTAAAGGTACTGTTGTGATGTCTGTGTTTGCTTCCCCTGTCCGAGTTCAGATCACTCAGTGATGATACTATATACCTAAATAATCTGTGGAACCTCAGCTTTAATCGGATATCTTGTAAATGCAGCTACGATAAGTAATAATAAGGGTACTTTTATCTTGAGTTCTGTGCCAAAGTGCGTTAGCATCTTTCGCTCAGGGGTCATTTAGATGCTTCTTATGAGACTTTTGTTTTGTTTTGGTATAAAATGGTTTGTATCGTCAGTTAGCTGAGATTATTTCCGTTAATCTGGTATAACACATGAATAGGTTCTTATATATTACGATCCCCTGAGACACTGTCGTGAAAAAAAAAGTAAAGTACCCGCCGGGACTTTGGGGTTGAACAGGTTAAAAAAAACGCAATATATACCGCAGGGGGGGGGGGGGGAAACCGCGATGTCAGTTTTTTTCAATACCGTGCAGCCCTAATCTGAGTGGACAAATATGACATGTGGGGTACCTCAAGGCTCCGTCTTGGGGCCTCTTCTCTTTAACATCTACATGCTACCACTGGCTCAGATAATGAAAAACAACAAAATAATTTACCATAGCTATGTGGATGACACACACATTTACATAACAATTTCACCAGGAGGCTATGCTCCAATTCAAACACTGAGTACGTGCATTGAACAAATCAATGACTGGATGTGTCAGAACTTTCTCCAATTAAACAAAGATAAAACTGAGGTAATGGTTTTTGGAGCCAAGGCAGAACATATAAAAGTTAGCGCTGAGCTTCAGTCTGCAATGTTCAAAACAACAGATAAAGCCAGAAATCTAGGTGTAGTCACGGACTCTGACCTGATTTTCAACAGTCACATTAGAACAGTTACTAAATCAGGCTACTATCACCTAAAGAATATATCTAGGATTAAAAGACTAATGTCAC